AATAATATTATTTATAAGAATTTACCTTTACTTAATGATTTTTTTTTTTTTTTGAAAGGCAAAACTTATTTTTATTAAATTTTGAGTACAAGGGTACTCTAACCCATATATAACAATTTGAGTAAATGCATTGATGCTCAATCAAAAGCCCATTCAAATTGTCTGCAAATATTATGAGGGAAATAATAATACTTCTATCACCAGCTGTATAACCCCTAAAATGTCTACCATTTGGAGAGATATTCTTTCTATTGGCAGGGAAAATGAAAGAGCAAAAACATGCTTCATTGATGGATTTCCCAGACAGATCGGTGATGGAGCAAAAACCAATTTCTTGTCTGACGTGTGGTTGGGCAGCTCCTCCTTCAAACTGGAATTTCCACGATTATACAACCTTTCCCTCGATAAAGAAATGTCAGTTGCTGACCTCAAACCATCTAAAGGTCAAGGATGGCATTTCAATTGGCGTCATGAACCATTTGGGAGAGAGCTGGATGAATACAAGAGATTAGAGGACACTCTAAAGCCTGTTAACATCCATGACACCAAGCCAGATAACTTCAATTGGATACACTGCCCATCAGGATACTCAGCAAAATCAGCCTACCAAATTCTTGAAAACCCCACCACTTGTCTTCAAGGCAGTATTTGCAGCTTGATTTGGAATCCATTGGTGCCCTCTAAAGTTAGCTTCATGATTTGGCACCTCTTCCTAAACCGCCTTCCAACTAAAGACAACCTGTGTCTTCGAGGAGTAAATTTAACAAACAATCCAAATTGCGTGTTCTGCGGTGATCATCCAGAGGACGCAAATCACATCTTTGCCAAATGCTGACAATCTCAAAAACTATGGAGCAAAATATGTCACTGGTGGGGTTTCCTTTTTGTTCCCCCGGATAATGCCTTTGCCATGCTCCACCAGCTTAGTTCGCTGCAGGTCCCCAAGAAAGCAAGAAGGAGCTGGAACCTCACAATCTCAACAGCTGCTTGGTCCATTTGGGTAAGCAGAAATGGTATTATTTTTGAAAAACAGCCTTGGAATGAAAACAGATTGATTGACTTAATTCAATCTAGAACTTTCTGCTGGATCAAAGGAAACTCTACCTGTGCTAAGTTTAATTTCGTGGACTGGTGTCAATTCCCACTCCATTGTGCAGTTGATTTTTAACTTATTGAACTTTTAATGTAATGTATGGGTGAGTACCCCTTGTACTCTTTTATTAATAACACTTTTGATTCATAAAAAAAAAAGCTGCCTACGCTTATCATGTAAGACCTGCGTTGGTTGTAAACACCATTCCATAAAAGAGATATACTTAAATCCATTCCATCTTTTGCACCAAAGATATGCTCTAGTTTGAACTAAATCAAATAATCTATCCTCACTGACGACCTTGTTTCTGAAAACATGCTCATTCCTGCATAACCAAATCGACCATACTGTTGCAAACCACACCACCTTCCAGCAAACCTTGATCATTTTTGGCCCCCTAACCCACTCATGCTATAAATACACTTCTTGGCAATCATTACTCAATACAAAACTTAATCCCCACCATCTAAAACACTTTTGCCATAAATTATAAGCTATCTCACATGAAATAAACAAGTGATTTTCCTCCTCTTGTTTTTTACCACAAAGCCCACATACAGAATGTTGCTCCTCTACAAGAATTCCTCTTCTAAACAGATTCATTCTTATAGGTAATTTTTCAATAAAAGCTGCCATGCAAATGTTGTTACCTTAGAGGGAGTCTTGGATTGCCAGAGCTTTGAGAATAGTCCTTGTGTAATATCTTGTTCACAATTTGCTAGTAAGGAATAAGCTGATCTTACTGAGTATTTGCTGCTTGTATCCCATTTCCAATTCCAATTATCTTTTTCACCCACAGTTGGTGCTACTCCATCAATCATATTTGAAAGGTCCCTTATCAATTCTTCTTCCCATGCATGTAACCTTCTCCTCCATTTCAAGTTCCACGACCAGATTCCATTTCTCCAAACACCCATGTCACTAACTCTTGCTTTTTTATCCGTGGACAACATGAAAAGTCTTGGAAAAATATTAGTGAAACTGCTAGTACTTATCTAAACATTATTCTAGAATTCAATGTCAACCCCATTTCCCAAACCTATTGAAAAACCCTCACTAAGCCACCCTAACATAGAGCCAATCTCCCTATCAATATTCTTAATGTCTCTCCACCAAACGGATCCTATCCTACTACCCTCGCACACCCATCTTATCCAATTTTCCCCTATTCCTCCATGTTTCTCCCTCAAAACCCTCTTCCATAATCCATTTTCATCACTAGCCAATCGTCCCCACCATTTGCCTAGCAAGGCTCTATTGAAAGAAACTAAATCTTTTATTCCTAACCCTCCCATTTCTTTTCTTTTCTTTTACACACCTCTCTCCATTTAACCCATGGAATTTTTTTTCTCTCCTCACCCCCTCCCCAAAGAAAACCCCTTCTTAAACTGCCAATCACAGAAATAACACTCTTAGGCATACGAAACATAGACATAAGGAAGACTGGCAAGCTAGATAGCACAAAGTTTATGAGAGTAATTCTTCCGCCCATGGACACATATCGACCCTTCCAATTTGCCAATTTCTTCTTCACACCTTCCAATTTTCCAATTTCTTCTTTACTTAATGAATTTTAATGTAATATCATTAGTCAAACATTATTTTCATCTTACTTAGTAATACAGTCAATATTTCTATCATAGTGATATAAGTACTGATTATATCACTGATTAAAATAGAAATAGCATTTGACTAATGGTGTAATATTAAAATTATTAAATAATGGTAAATTCCCCCAAATTATATAGTTTAGGGACTAATATCCTTAAATTTTTAGATGAGAAGCCAATAATTCTAAAATTTATAAGTTAAGGAGTTAGATAAGAGATTAAGCCTTGATCTTATTATAAAAAGAGAAAAGAACAGGATCAAATTATGTATTAATTTTATAATAGTGTATGTTGTTATTACAATCATATTAATCATTGTATAATTTGATATTTTTCAATTTTTGATATAATAAGATAAATCATTTATGATTAAATCCTCTTTACGAATGACAAATAAAATCTCTTGGAGGAGATAACCAGCCTAATACAATGATGCACCAAAGGGGAATAAACCAATAAGAACTTGCTTAAGTTGCTAATGATTTGCGTTTGAAATTATATCTTCCATGGTATCTCCAAAAATGTGTTTATCTATTATGATTATATTGATTTTAATTAATATTTTATATAATTTTATAATTATATTGATTTATTAACAATTACTAAATAATAGAATAGTTTTTATGATTACATAATACTCAAAAAGTCACAACAGTTATAGTACTTTATAATAATTTTAAATACAAAAATTTAAAATAAAGTTTAGAGATTTAAATTTTTATAATACAAAATAAATAATTTTTTGAGGAGGCTTAATAATTAAAGTGGTTTAGTCACTACTATAAAAAATTCACACAACTTCATGATAGGAGTTTAAACTTGAACTCTACTATTTTCTTCTCTTCTAATAGGTTTAATTCATTTATTCTAAAATATTAAAAAAATTAATTTCTTATTACCATTGAAAAAACAAAAAACTGAGAATAAAAGATCTAAAACATAGCGGGGTAGACTTCCATGACTTCACTCTTTGAGGTTATATCCTCACCCTTCAGAATTCGCATTAATTTATAAGTACAAAATATGGCAATGACTAATACGGCTAGCATATTGTTCAGGTCGAGGAAAAAGCCCCCATCATCCTTTCGCTCTAGTTAATTGATAACTACTAAGAACAAAGGGGAAAAATTTTGCCCTTGCAAACTTGAAAGCATTTGAATCGACAGCAAGACAAGGAGAGTCGAAGAGTAACATAACATTTCCTTTCGCAACAAAGCTGTAAATCAAGCTCTTTTGACTCATTTCCCAGTTGAAATCATATGAATATCAAGAACCCTTTAAGAACTGGACAACACCTTCAAGTTTGCAGTGCAAGAACATAGATATAAATTAACCGCCATTTCGATTCTTACCAAGAAACCAAATTTGAGAATAACCATTACTAGAAATCAATACAACTCAACTCTTAGAAATCATTCATCCCAACATGAAATTTTGTTAAATTACAACAAATAGAGAAAAACAAAAGGCTAAATGCTCCAGAATCTTGAACTAAATCTTGTTGGCTTCAGTAAGACATCCATACAACAAACAACATCCATCATTATA